TTTTGCTGTGACCTTGAAAATTATCTCAAGGTCACTCCATTTCACTTGTGTTGGTGAATCTCGCCAATATACCTTGGTATCAAGTTTGAACAAAATCCATCAATTCTTTCTTGAGTTATCGCCCTAACGTGCTTATTTGATGTATGAAATGCAACGAAAAACAAACACCCGCGTATTTACGAGTGATTAAAACTGTTATTACAATTTACGTAAATATTTATTACATTTTACCGCAACGAAAATTATTACAATTTACGTCAATTTTTATTACAATTTACGTATTACAATTTACGTCAATATTTATTACAATTTACGTTTTTATTACAATTTACGTCAAGTTTATTACAATTTGCTGCAAGTATTACAATTTGCGTTTTTATTACAATTTACGTCGTAACAAGGCTCGCTGACTTGGTTGACACATGTCATCGGTTCCCAATTGCGCAGATCGATGCTCATGCTGTTGATCACTGGATTGTCTGGTCAAGACTCGATTATTTACAGACCGCCGCCATATAGCTGGAATATTGCTGAGTGCGGCGTAAAACTCAACTCACTCACTCACTCACTACTGTTGGGGCTTGAATCTGAACGTGCGTTCCGTCGATCACCCCCACAACTCCGGGAAGGTTTGCAACCTGATAAAAGTTGGTCTGATGACGCCTGATGTCCAAAAGTTGTAGGGGGAAGCGAACGAATTGTTTGACAATCCTGTCAGATGGCAAACGTCGTATGCAGTCATTCACAGCTCTGGAAATGGTTGGCTGGCTGACACCTTGATCGTCCGCATTGCACAATTGACATTTTCCGGTGGCAAAGTACCTCAATGTGATGAGCGTCTTTTGTGAGGCATCCATGTGCGTGGTTACAGGTGGCTGTGGGCTCAACGTCTGGCGCTATTAGACTGGCGACGAATCTAATGCCATTCCCATCTAGACGGTATCGCAGAATTAATTCTTCATCGCTGTATTCAACGAGACTTTGTCTTCTTTGGTGAAATGAACGACGCCTCAGCGCTACGGCAGCCATATTGTTTACTGACTTATGTCAAACACCTTCCAGTTATGGTCTAGAAGCCAGACCCCCCAAATGGTGAAAATGTGGTGCAGTTCTGGCGACCAAACGGGATGTGATTTTTCACAATCAGGAATGATTTAGCTTTGATTTAAAGCCGGTTGTCATCAGCTACCGTGCGTGACTACCGTACAGAGGCCCTGTTAAGGTGCAAAATGTCATGTCAGTTATGGCAATATTTTAACCGATAACTGGGTGGTTTAATTTAATAACTTTGTTTTGGAGTGACCGATTTTCATCAAAATAGTAGTTTTGGAATGCTGAGATCATGATTGAAAATAGTGGACAATAATATTACATATATGTTCATCGCAAAAATATTTTGGTAAGGTCAAAGGTCAATTTTAATAGAAAAGGGCATTTGATGAGAAAATATGAGTTGAACTTTACAAATTAAAGGTAATTGTTTCCAAAATTATGTTTTTCTAATTCAGCTATATCATTTAAAGATCATATATACCTTTGGTTTGCTCTGTATGCATGAAAAAACCATTACAAGGAAACAAAAGTTGGTACTTTGTATCTAGATCAGCAAAATATTATTATATAATGTCTGTTCAAACAGTAACATCTCCATGCTTTGCATAGTAAACGATACCAAATATGTCGATGATACTGTCGGACTATCTCTGAAATCACACAACATAACAGAAAGCTCTTAAATGTAAAATTCTATTATTCCAGATGTCTTTCTTTGCTCATCAAAGAATGATGAGTCAGCCATGTCATCATAACTCAAGCAATATTTCCTTCATATCAATTCGTGTCTATTGTTCCTAATAGTCATAGTGTATTCCTAGTTGACATGTTAGTCAATGTGAACAATGTCAAGATCATGGGAACATGTTTCAAGTCCACATCCACATGCCGAAGTACACAACAGGTTCAACCTCTTTGACACCTTCCTGTACATTGACTTTTACATGCACGGTTATGAAGTTGAAGAAGGTCCACGGTGATCGGGTGGTCGTTCTCACTTACTTGTTTGATGCATGCCATCGTATCCCACTTGTGAAGATTGATGCTCATAGTGTCATGATCATGCTATGTGTAATTCTTTTGTGTATATCATTACATATTACTAAAACCAAGGTATGCATATTTTTATGAACGTTACAGTAGAAGCAAGATGTTTATATGAATATTGTCTAGGAATTTCTTTTTGAGTTGTCCACAAAACTAGGCACTTAATGTTTTGTATTTAAAGCAGTACGTTTCTTCGTAATAGATCTTCATCAAATATTCCTCTGTTCCTCTGTGATAACGTTGCAAATAAGTTAAGACTAAATCGTTTCCGTGGACCTTCTTCAACATATCTGTGCATATAAACGCCAATGTACAGGAAGGAGTAGCTGCAAGAGGTTGAACCTGTTGTGTGCTTCGGCATGTAGATGTGGACATGAAACATGTTCCCGTGATCTTGACAATGTTGATATTGACTAACATGTCAACTGTGAATACACTATGACTATTAAGAACAATAAATACGAATTGATATGAAGGTAATGTTGCCTGTGTTATGATGACATGACTGTGTGTATATTTGGTGGTAAGATACCATAACGCCTTTCAGATGAGTGTGTCATATCTTTAACAATGTATCAATGATTGCTAGTGTAAAATAAAGAAAGAAAGCCAAAGTCGTAATATTTCACATTGTAAAATGGAACACCATAATGTCAATTGTAAACCTTCCATTAGGATGTCATGTTATTATCCATCAGCTTTAGTGAGTGAGTGAGTGAGTGAGTTAAGATTTAACGTCACATCGGCAATGTTGCAGCAATATCGTGACGAAAACAAGCCATACAATGAAAAGTAGAAATATTTTAAAGATTAAAACCTGTCGACGATGGACGGTAAAAAGACCCCGTCAGCTTTAAGGGTTTCACGGCATGTCAGTGCAATACTGACACTTATCTCCTTCTGGCATCAGCTGAATTGTTGTTTCTGCTAGAATGTCAATAAACGCAAATTTGTATGATAGTTCAACAGTATCTTCGACATATTTAGTATTGTTGATACTTTGTAAAGCATGGAGCTGAAATTATCTTATGTTTTGCTGATCTCAATACAAAGTACCAACCTTTATTTCCTTGTAATGGTTTTTCATGAATACAATGCCAACCAAAGGTTTATATGATCTTCAAATGATATAGCTGAATCAGAAACACATGATTTTGGAAAAACTACCTTTAATTTGTAAAGTTCAACTCACATTTTTTCATCATATGCCCTTTCTATTAAAATTGACCTTTGACCTTACCAAACTATTTTTGCGATGAACATATATGTAATATTATTGTCCACAATTTTAAATCATGGTCTGATCATTCAAAAACTATTTGTGTTATGAAAATCGTTCAAACCAAACCAGAGTTATTAAATTCAACCATCCAGTTATCGGTTAAAATATTGCCATAACTGACATGACATTTTGCACCTTAACAGGGCCTCCGTACGGTAGTCACGCACGGTAGCTGATGACAACCGGCTTTAAATCAAAGCCAAATCATTCCTGATTGTGAAAAATCACATTCCATTCGGTCGCCAGAACTGCACCACATTTTCACCATTTGGGGGGTCTGGCTTCTAGTCCATTAAGCCTACCCCTGCCCAGTCTTAAGATTTAAGTCGGAAATCGCCAAAACTTAAGCCTAAGTTGCTTTATGAATATGACTTGAGTAAAATCTGAAAACTTAAGTCAGAAAAAGTGAAAAACTTAGTTTTTTCAAAAACTTAAGTCATATTTCAGACTTAAGTTCTTTTATGAATACCGCCCCTGGTACAGTAATAATTGTTTGTATATGTGTTTTCCATTATATATTCATGTAATTATGTTCATGAGTAGTCATACTGGGAGTATAAAAATGGATTCTTATAGGTACCTTAGGCAAAGTTATATTTTCCTAAAGCTACAAGATGATATTGGCAAGCTTCGACTGGATTTTCTCATGTGTGAATTTCACAAATGGTTGGAAATGAATGTAATTTTTTATATGTTTTTAAGCAACGTCTTCAGGACATTTTCTTCCAAGAATGGTCCATGTCTATAAATAATTCAAGTTTCCTAGAACACTATTCTTCTCATAAATCTTTGTTAGAACCGGAGTTTTATATTATGAACTGACAAGACAAATCGTTAATACGGGCGTTGTGTAAATTCAGAATAGGCTTTCATGATTTTAGAATTCACTATTTACGCAAACCCAATAGAGCTTTCAGTGTAAATGAATCCATCTGTAAAAATTGTAATACAGGTAATATTGAAAGTGAATTTCATGTATTATTTGTGTGTACCAAGTATTTAGATTTAAGAAGTAAGTATTTATCATTTGTATCAACACCTGTAAGAGATGAACAAATATTGCCCAGCCTGTTAAATTCGAAAAATATTGATATTATCAAATCTATTGCAATATATTTAAAACATGTCTTCAATGCAAGAAATGTCACCACAGCCACCACGTGCATATACTTGTAGCAAGTGTATTTGTACTATAGGCCTTTAGGCCCGAAATACTGAATAAAAACGAATCTGAATCTGAATCATACTGGGAGTAGCCATAATGGGAACTACCGGTGGAACAGTCCACCTGATGGAGGGGAGACAGCTAGTAATTAAAAAACGATCGGCTGGAACAGGTCGTGTATTTGACGGGTAGTCATAATGGGAATGAACCTTTTAATTCAATCACAACAACAATTATTTAATCAAATTGGGGGCGTAGTCATGGTGACCATACCTTCCACCATTGTTGATATCCACTTTTTTCTGGCTCAGATTGCAACTAAAGTGTTATCAAATTTTCAGTTCAGTTTTTGTTTTAATCAGAGTAAAACACGTAGTTACCATTTATCATCACATACACATAATCATATACAACATGAGGGGTTTTCGTCTGGGAATATTTATTTAACGCTGATGTGTAAATGATACAGTGAGGTCCAAACTGTAAACCTGCCGGAGCATGTGGCCATAGTATTAGTCACACCACTCGCACTGAAACCCAATTATCCAATCTACAGTAATGGTGACAGGTTAACATCAAGTTCATTGTATTTGGAAATGGCAGTAATACCTCCGTGCAGTATAGCAAGCCACATTCTCCCAGAGATAATTGTTTTCCCTCCAGGTGTACTGAACACAGTTACCGGTAAACCAATCCTTGGGGAAGCCATCATGCCACCTGAAGCGAGTTAGAGGCTTCCCGCACCATGCCCAAACATTTTCGCAAAACACGAGATTATCGCAGTTTCTTTTTCTCGTCCCAAGAAGGCTCTTTCTCTGGTTCGCTGCACAAAAGAAGATACAGCATTTTACCTCACATTTGTAACTACTCGCCCCTAGCCTATCTTGTGACTGATTCTTACGATGAACCACACAACATGCACTGATGAATACCAGTACCGGATGAATACCTGTACCGGATGAATACCAGTACCTTAGACATGATTAAGTAAGAAATCTATGCACTGGATCTACACAATTGGTATATGATGACATGTGTCAACCAAGTCAGAGAGCCTGACCACCCGATCCCGTTAGTCGCCTCCTACGACAAGCATAGGTTACTGATGATCAATTCTAATCCGGATCTTCACTGGTGATTTTCGTGACAGAATACAGGCGTTATTTAGGAGCAAGAATTGAGTATGGTAACAGAAACGAATGTGGCAATACTCTACAGTTTCAACCTACAATTCTCTACAGTAAACAAAGGAATTGTTTCTATGTTGACTTAAGAAGTGGGTGCACGTTGACTTTGGGATATACGCACTATACTGTACATAAACAAGAATATGGGTGTATGTACATTAAATTTCGGAACGGAATTCAGATCATATCCTTTGACATAGACATACCTTCCAAGGTGATTACAGTTAAAATATAATCGATAGTCTAAATTCAATGAAATAAAAATTCAACTGTGCGCCTTTAGGCAGCAGAAGAAGACTTGCAGCATTATTTATGTTTGCTGGTGTTTACTTTCATTGCCTATCAGGTAACAGCGACTTTGTTATGGCATCTTATTGCCGAAATGTTATTACTATTTCTCAGTCCACATGATGGAAGACTAGCTACTCTTTCGGAATGAATAAATAGGGTAGTGTAAACGTATGAACCATTTTGTAAAACAGCGTCTGTTTAAAATAGTGTCTTCATTTTGTCAGTGGGAGGAACGATTATTATTTTTTAATAAATCAAATCATTACTGGTTTTGACTGAAGAAAACGCAAATTGTTCTTCGAGCATCAAGATTTAAATTTTCAAGCAGATTCTTGTTGTGTAGTGCACTCATCCAATATTTATAAACAATTTCTTATTTTTTTCGTGAGAGTCTTTCCAAATAAGATCTTCAATGTTCAATTTCCAGCTGCAGTCTGCTTGAAGGATAACGTCTTAATGTTTGTGGCAGTCAACTTCAGAAATATATTGGAAAAACAAAATTTCTCCTCCCTGCATTTTTAAGCTAGGTAATGCGCAAGGATTCGCTTCGTAAGAAAATAATACTAGTTTTCCAAGGATTAAAATTAACTTTCCAAACTCTCAATTGGAGATTTCTTTAAAGACTTATTCATATTACAGGCAGTAACGTCAGAGTTTCTACAGTGAAGCATACTCGGCTAACAGGCTAATATTGCTATCATGACCATCTAAAATATTATTGACATAAATAAAAGCGACAAAACCCTTTTCACATCCAGAAGGAATATCTAATAAAAGCAAAGTTGACTGACGATATCATGAGTATATATTTAGCTGTACGATGTGGTCTGTAAACAATAGAGTCTGAACAAGACGATAAACCATGACCGAGCATGTGTTTATGACTCGCCTTCAAACAGTGATGATACCAGGTGTTCGCGAAAGGTGAGCGTATCCTGCCCCTCCGGTGTCTAGACATGTGTTCACTTGAAATAATTCGGGAACGTATGCATGCTATAAGTCAAAATAGGGAATATTTGTCACGTATGCATCAAGTTTGGAAATTTACTCCACATGACTACCAGAAAACTTTTCGAAAGCTTTACCGACGGTTTGAATGTTGTAACATCGATCAAGCAACTTTTGAGCAAGAGTCGCATAACACTCGTCGAAATCCTGATAAAAAGATCACGCTCGAATGTACCTAAAAAGTTGTTGGAATATTGCTCGACACAAAAGGGAAGTTGACTATTGGAAAGCTGAAATCATCCCTTTCTGTCACACAGCTTTGCAGACATATTTTGGTCACTCTGAATCTAAATATGAAACAGTTGATGCTTTCTCACTTGTCTCCTTAATTTCAAGTTCAGGTGGGTAAATCAGTGGAATCAAATTCCTCTTCTCTTTTGGTCCATTTTTTTGCCATAAACTTCGACATCATGCATAATGATTATACAGATGTACTTCCAATTGGTTGGAAGCTCTTTGCGATATTTAGGTCCATATCTAGATAGCTGACGAAAGTTGGTATTGTCAGCTGTGGAGAAGACACCTGTGATTATATGTCTTGCAGGTTTGCAGCAAAGCACCGAGTCTTGGCAGCCACGAGGTGGACTTTACATTATGATCCGCCAAGTTCACGTTCTGCAACACGTTCCTATAATTGATCAACCTGCATGAAATGGTCCGTACAGGAAACGATATTGTTGGTATTTCCTGAAATCTAAAATATTTTGGCACATTTTTGGACACTGATCTTTGTCTCTGAATGTTGCTTAAAGTTCAAGCATCAATTCCCTTGTCTGCTAATTTCAACCAAGAAAAAATAATGGCTGTAATATGGCAACCGACCCGAAAACCATACATTAACCCCAGTTGAAGGTGTACATTAAGGATTTGTTTAAAATGGTTATTGAACATTGAGAAACATAGAATAGTTACGTTTTTTATATTATTTAGGGTTTGGGTGTGTTTTCGTGTTTTACATCCTATTGTTTTGAATGAACAAGTCGTATTATATCGATACTTTAAGGATGACAACTTTCGATTTAAGCATATTTAGTTCCAAAGAAAGGAACCGGATTGGTGAATACCGCTCCGGGATACAATGGAAGGAAGAGTAAACACGTCATGATGAATGCACAATGTGAATGACATATAAATGTTGCAAAAACGAGAAATTAACGCCAATCATTGTTAAACAGTATATGTCATATAAACAAATTATTTTGGATCAAATCTGCCTGTTAGATTTATAAACGAGTGCACTGAGATTAAAAGTTCTTTGTTTACTATCGAGGAACAGCTTTGGTTTCCAAACAAAATTGATGTTAGGTCAAATCCTTTAGTATAAAAATAGATAATTTGACGTATATCGCTGTAAAGAGTACATGAAAAGGAATAATGAACAGAGTTGTGGCCACAAGAGCAAGATGATGTTGGAGATACAAATCTTTCATATTTGTGTGCATTAAGATCCCTACATTCAAGTCGGAGACGAGAATGTATGATTTGACAAAATCTGCTACCGAAATTGAAGTCAACATGACTGTAGATCTTAGAATCGTTTAAAAGTACACTTTTGAATCTCGATAGGCACGGTGATTCTCTATGTTCAGCTGGTAATGAATTCCATAATTTATCAGTATCTAGAAGAAAGGGCCTCGCATAGTTTACAGATTTACAGTTTATAGTCTGAAGATTTGAATCACCGCGCAGATTATAACCCACGACATCTGATACTCTAGGGGGAACAAGGTTACTAAGGTAACTTGGCGTAGGGATTTTAACCATCATTTTATGAAGGCATCTTCTACGACACAACGGGTGACAATTAGTTTCTTTGTATATTTTATGATGGCTGGTACCACGAACAGCACCACACACGGTTCTTAGAGCATCAAGATTGAGCTTTTCAAGTATATCTGCTTGCTGTTTAGTACAATTATCCCATATATGACTGCAATATTAAAAAACTGGTAATATGCACTATTTGTACATGGTTTGTAATGTTTTTCTGTTTAAACGATATTTGAGACTTCTTAGACAATTCACCATTGGTGCAACTTTTTTAGCACAGTCGTTAATGTGTTCATTCCATGAGCAATCATGCTGAAGTATAAGACCTACATGTTTATGGCTTTGTACGGAATTAATGACATTACCATTCATGGTTAGGCTCGGCATTGGAGTTGGTTGCAATTTACGAGTAAACCGTATTGATTCTGTCTTATTGGGATTAAAAGATACTTGCCATTTTTCTGCCCATTCGGCAATTCGCTGTAAATCATCGTTCATTACAATAGCAGTTACCCCAGGATCATCAATGCTGGCATATAAAGGCGTATATTACTATTTATACCTTCAACTATATCATTTATATGAACAATAAACAAGAGCGGCCCCAATACTGAACCCTGGGGTACTCCAGCAAAACAGCTTTATTATCAGATCTTAATCAATTAATTACGACACGTTGTTCTCTAGTTTCAAGATAACTCTCAAACCATTTAACAAATGTCCCTTTATACCATATCTTTTTAATTTATTAATGATACCCTTGTGCCAAACCCGTTCGAATGCTTTGCTTACATCACAAAACACTTCTCTTATTTCTTTTCCTTCATCTACTGCACCGGCAGTGAAATCATATAAATACGTTAGTTGATTTACAGTAGAATCGCCTGGTTTGAATCCTGACTGGAGATTAGAAACCACGTCGTTATCTCTGAAATAATTGAAGACGCACTTTTCAAAACTTTTTGCCAGACAACTTTTGAGTGTAACGGGTCTTTAATTGGAACAGTCATTAATACAACTTTTTTGTGAATAGGGACGACACAGGCTTCCTTCCAAACGTGAGGAAAAGTAGTTTGAGAGAGGGATTGGTTAAAGACATCTGATAGAGGGGCTGCCAAAAATCGACCGTTCATTTTCAGAAACTTATTGCTAATTCCGTCTGGGCCTATTGCTTTTGTATTATCTACGGAAGAAAGAATCTCATAAACTGCGTTTTGGTTCAGATAAACGTCACATAAAGAATTATCAGTATACGAAAAAACCTCTTCAATATTCCTGTCTGGATAACTAACTTTTGTTTGATTTGTGAAATATTCATTCATTATATTTGCAATTTCAGTGCTATCGTCATAAAGTTGATCATTATTAAATACTGGAGGAAAGGAGCTTGATGAATTTTTGCCTTTTGTATAATTTTTTATCAGACGCCACCAGACTTTGGTTCCATGCTTGTCATTAACTTATTTATCAATTTTGTCTGTATATAAATGTTTGGCCGTTCTGACGGATGATGTAGCTTTATTTCTGTATAGTCTGAATTTTGTCCAATCGGAAGGTAAGTTGCGCC